CAAGTCCATGGCCTCGTCGGTGCGCTCCACCATCTGGGCCAACACAGCGGAGTATGTGAACACCGGGCGCCCGCATGCGAACAAGAGCTACTCCATGAAGGACGCGTTCGTGCAGTTCCGCGTCTCGCACTACGTTCCGGCCGTGACGCTGCTGTACCTTGTGATGGTGTACAGCCTGTCGAACATCTCGAAGAAGAAACACCTGCATGAACATAAGCTTTCGAAGGTCCGCGCGGATCTCTCGGATGGGCACGGGACCCGCCTTGGCGGCGCCTCTGGCGCCGACCCGGCGTGATCTGCGCGCCAGGGAGGGGTGTTTGGCTCCGACCGAAGAGACCCGCGCGGACATCGTAAAGCTTAGGCTCATGCCTTGTTTGTTCTTCCGGCATCGGGGGAGCACTGCCCATGGTGATGATCGTCCTCACTGCGGCCTGCTGGATCGTGGCTCCCGTGCTCTTCCGGCCGCCCACCGGGGGCGTCTGGCCCCAGTTCGCCGAGCTCGGCCACTTCATCCTGAGCGCCCCTGCTTCCTCGGGCCGCCTGCTCCCCGGGAAGGCGCCCGGGGCAGCGACGGGAGGGGATCGGCTCAGGCCAGCGCGTCTCGGGTCCGAGGCTCGGAGTTTTTTCTCGGGCGCTCGCGCCGGCTCTCGGCGGCCTGCCGGTCCTCGGGAAGAGCTCTCCGGCAGCTGCTTGGCATCGCTCGGACGTGTGGATTTATCCTTCGTCGAGGACCATCGAGGAGCCTCCTGGATCCTTTGGCGAAAAGGCCACGCGCGACACCGAAACAAAAACACAGGGGATGGACGTCCGAGCGATGGCCAGGCTGCGCCCCTCGCCGAGAGCGGCCTGAGGGGGTGTGCGGATATTGTCCCGAGCGGCCGCGTGAGCCCCGAGCCACGGCACGAAAAGCGGACGACGAGCGCTCCAACTACTTGGGGGGGGGGGGGCAGGCTCGGGAGGAGGATGCGTCGGCCCCCGAGCGCCCACTCATCGCCGACAGCGGCCCTGATGTGGCTCACCCCGCCCAGGGAGCCTGCGGCTTCGCCCTCGGGAGCCCGTCGCCGACCTGGCGGCGGCGCACGGCCGACGCCAGGTCGACGCGCCCTCCCCCTGTCTTGGCATCGCTCGGACGTGTGCATTTTTCCTTTGGCGAGGACCATTGAGGAGCATCCTTCTATCATTTGGCGAAAAAACCACGCACGAAACCGGAGAAAACACAGGGAATGGACGTCCGAGCGATGGCCAGCTGTCGTTCCCCCCCCCCCCCGCGAGGCGACGACTCTGTACGAGCTCGCCCTGGACCTGGAGCTGAAGCAGGCCCACCGCGGCCCGGGCACGCAGCTCCTGGGAGCGCTGGCGCTCTCGCTGCTCTACGTGCTCATGTGCGTGGCCACCGTCTGGGAGCAGATGCCCGCTCCGCTCTTCGCGTGGGCCATCACCTTCTGCGTCAAGGCGGGGCCCGCCTCGATCCCATCGGCTCGAGCCCGGGGCGATCCCGGCCGGCCCGCTCCGGCTCGGCCTCGACGTTCTGGCGATCCGGTGCGGCCTGGTGCTTGCCACGGCGATGCCGTGCACCCGGGCGTGGCCGATCCGACTCGGTTTCGGCTCCGTGCCGATGCAGCCCGATCCGACGCGAACTTCGATGTGGCACGATGTCCGCAGTCTCGGAGGCCGAAAGGGCCCCCACCCTGCCAAGTCGTTGAGCGAACTGCCTTTCTTCGGCTGTGAGAGGAGGAGGAGGAGGAGGAGGAGGAGGAGGAGGAGGAGGAGGAGGAGCAGGAGCAGGAGCAGGAGGAGGAGGAGGAGGAGGAGGAGGAGGAGGAGAGGGAAGAGGAGCAGGAGGAGGAGCAGGAGGAGGAGGAGGAGGAGGAGGAGGAGGAGGAGGAGGAGGAGGAGGAGGAGGAGGGGCGGCCGCGGGTTATGCCGGCCTGCGCCCGCCGTGTCTGGTCCCGGGCTGATTTTCACGAGGGGTTTTTGTTTTCCCCTGAGATCCGATTTTGAGTGATCCTGCGTCGAGGCCGTGTGGCGCCTCAGCGGCATGAAGCAGGCAGGCCTGGTCAACATCGTGTTCCACCTGCTGTTGCCGGTGGTCTTGTTCTTCTCTGGGTCCCTGGTCGAGAACTTTGGCTTCAGCTCCTTGCTGCTGTCCATGATCATCTTCACGCACATTATGCACACCGTCAAGGTCTTCTGGTGGTTCGTGGCGCGCCTGGTGCTGCCGAAGGGCTCCCCGCTCGGCTACGACCGCGTCGTGCACCTCCTCTACGACTTCGGCCTCGGCTACCAGCTCCAGGTCTACGCCGCCGTCGTCGTGCTGGCCGTGCAGGCACTCTGCGAGCTGCTGCTGTGCCTGCTCGACCTGCCATACCTGCGCCTGCGCACCTGGGCGCTGCTCAACCGCCGCGTCTCCGAGGGCTGCGTCGCCCGGATGTACGGCAGCGCCCCCACCCCCGCGGGCGGAGCTGGAGACACTGCAGAGGCTGCGCCCATTGCCATCTGATCGAGCGTTGCGCTGTGAGCCCCAGGCTCGCACGCACAGCACAGCTGTCCCTCGCAAGGCCGAGGGGGTGAGGATTCAGCCACAAGCCGCTCCTCCGCTGGCGCTTCGCGTCTCTGCGGCCTCGTAGCATGCGAGTGCTTCCGCGCCGTCGATGGGGAGCTCTTTGATGATGCTCCGAATGTTCACTCTCTGAGGTGCGGGCGATGATGAGCGGCGCTCTCCGCTGCGTTCTCAGGCGGCTGACCAGCAGCGGGACAAGATCCCCGCTGCTTGGCAGACTGCCAAGAGGAAGAAGACCGCCCAACAGCGGGGTCGATGCTCCATCCAGGGCTGCAAGCACACGACTTGCTGCCCCCGCGCTGCGCCGCCGTGCCAGGCCTGACTGCATCCGAGGAAGTCTGGGAGCAACGAAAAGCATCCATCAGGGCAGGCCCAGGGTTCTTCCGCTTCCTCTCATCGCCCCCCCTCACTCCCGCTGACCGCTGTCTGCTGCACGGTGTGTGGGGAGGGGGGGGGGGGGCATCTGGCTCGCTCATGGGCTCGCGCGCTCCTCCCCCGAGGCGCCCCAGGCTTGACGCGGCGCCGACCAGAAAGCGAGCAAGCATGCCATTGGCCACCCCTTTGTCGGCGCGCCCGAGTCCTTGGGGAACGTGCGACTCGTGGCCGAAACTCGCCGCGGTTCCTCATTCAGCGTTCCGCGTGGTGGCACGATGGAGGCATGTCATGGCATGTCGGCGCGCCGACCCCTGCTGCTCTTTACGATGGCGGGCCGAATGCGTTTTGCATCCCCGATCCGCCGGGATGCCCCGCGTGCGGTGGCGGCCTGGTCCGGTTGCCCTGCCGACCTGCCGCGGTGAGCTTCGGGCGCCCGCTGCCGTTCTTTTTCCTCCCCCTTCCCGCCCCCGCCTCCCTCCGGCTTCCCGTGGCCGCCCCGGAGACCTCCAGAGGCCTCCTGGAGAGTTCGACGGCATGCCCTGGCCGCCAAGGAGGGTCCTGACATCAGCTCGAGACGCCAACGTGGCCCTGGACGGGGCAGCGCGCCAGCGGCATCGGCGCGGGCACCAAGTCTCATTGAGACCCCATGGGCAGCAGGACGAGAGGCTCTTCTCTGGGAGGCGTCCATTGACCTCCCGTAGTCAGAGGTCCATTGCTCAACGCTTCGCGTATCTCCACTCGCCGATCCAGGAACGATGCCCAGGGAAGCTGCCCTGATCGAGGATGTGGAGGAGCATGCAGTAGAATAATTGGTTGGGGAAGCCGTCATACCCCAAGAAGGGAAAGATGGAGGAGCGTGGCCTCATTCGGATACCTCGGGGAGCCTCAGTGAACCAGAGGCCTCTTGGATGCCTCTCGGAGTCGCTTGGGATGTCTCCTGGGGGGCTCTTGGTGGTGGGGCGTCTTGGGAGCCTCTTGGTGGCCTCTTGGGGCATTGTGGGGGGCTTTTTGGGGCCTCTTGGGGGCCTTTTTGGGGCCTCTTGGAGCCATCTTGGAGGACACTTAGCGCTGCCCCTCGAGAGCCCTTAAAATAGTCTCTTGGGCTCTCTTGGGGCGCTCTTGGGCGCTCTTGGGGCCGTCTTGGACTCCTCTTGGACCCCTCTTGGGTCTGTCTTGGGCCCTCTACGAGCCATCTTGTGGCCTCCGAAGGCCATCGGACGCGAACAGGCGAGAAAGCAAAAACCATATCCCAACCATCATTTCGTGTTGGGTTTTCGTTTTGAAGAGACAGCGCCCCGCGTTTCACTCAAGCCTTCCTCAATCCTTCATCCTCCCGCTCTTACCTCCTGCAAACCCTGCCTCTGCCCTCCGCATGTCCACGAGTTCGGCACACCCAATACAGCGCTTCGTGGCCCCATAGGGAGCTACACCGAAGGCTCCAGTGGCGGCGTTCGCATGCGTCTCCCTCACCCAGTACAGCGCTTCGTGGCCCCGTAGGGAGCTACACCGAAGGCCCCAGAGGCGACGTTTGCATGCGTCTCCCCGACCCAGTAAAACGCCCCGTTGCCCCATTGGGACTCCACTGTAGTCCGCGGAGGCGACGTTTGCACGCCTCTTCCCCGCCCAATACAGCGCTTCGTGGCCCCATAGGGAGCTACACCGAAGGCCCCAGCGGCGACGTTCGCATGCGTCTCCCCGACCCAGTAAAACGCCCATTTGCCCCATTGGGCACCGAAGGCCCCAGAGGCGACGTTCGCATGCGTTTCCTCGGAGGCGACGTTCACATGCGTCTTCCCCTCACAACGCGTCGCTTGGTGGGCCCACAGGGAGCTCCACCGACGGCCCCAGAGGCGGCGTTCGCATGCGTCTCTCCCCCACCCAGCACAGCCGTGCCCCCCTAGGGAGCTCCACTGACGGCCCCAGTGGCGGCGTTCGCATGCGTCTCCCACACCAATTACAGCGCGTGGCACCATATGGAGCTCCACTGGAGGCACCACTGGCCGCGGCCGCATGCGTCCCCCTTACCCAGTACGGCGATTCGTGGCCCTATAGGGAGCTACACCGAGGGCCCCAGTGACCGCGGCCGCATGGCGTCTCCCGCACACACTTCAGCGCTTCGTGGCCCCATGAGGAGCTCCAGTGGCCGCGACCGCATGCGTCTCCCCCTCCTAGTACAGCCTTCCGTGCCTCCATGGGGAGCTCCACCGAAGACCCCAGTGGCCGCGGCCACATGCGTCTCCCCCCGCGTTTCGTGGCCTCGTGAACCGCTCCACCGAAAGCTGCGCAGTCGACGCGGCACTCTCAACTGCAGATGGTCGGGTCCGTCGCCAGGATAACTGTCTTCAGGTTTTGGAAGGACATTTGCCTCTTGGGGGCGTCCTGGGGGCCCCCCAAGGCCACTTGGACCCGTCGTGGAGCTGTATTGGGGCCACCTGGACTCTGTTGGAAGCCATCTTGAGTGACCTCGCGCTATCTGAAAGAGCGCTTTCTACTGTACCCCGGTTCGAACCGAGAGGGGAAGAATTCCTCCACCCCCCCTACGAACCAGGTCGGGGGTGGGGGGCGGACTCCCCCCCCAGTTGAGCCCCGGTTGGGCCCAGCGGGGGGCTAGCTCCCCCCCTGGGTTGGAACTGGGGGGAGGGGGACGAAGATCAAACAAAGCTCAAACAATGTTTAAGCAAGGCTCAGACAAATGTCATACAAAGCTCAAAACAAATGTCAAACAAAGCTCCAACAGAGCTCCAACAAAGCTCCAACAACGCTCCAACAAAGCTCAAACACAGCTCGAGTCCGCACGGGCGGGGTTGTCAAGTGGGGCAAGTGAGGAAAGCGGGGCGCATTTCGAATGGTGGCGCATGACGTCGCCCTTCTCGCACAGGTGCCTGCCCCCACCCCTCGGCACCTACGGGGGGCTTCTGGGGCCGTCCTGGGCTGCCGGCGATGATGATGTTGCTGATGATGAAGGTGAAGATGACGACGGTGATAGTGATGGTGATGGTGATGGTGATGGTGATGATGATGATGATGATGATGATGATGCTGATGATGATGATGCTGATGATGATGATGATGATGATGATGATGGTGAGGATGGTGATGGTGATGGTGATGGTAATGGCGATTGTGGTGGTAATGGTGGTGGTAATGATGATGATGATGATGATGATGATGATGATGATGATGATGGTGATGGTGATGGTGATGGTGATGGTGATGGCGATGATGATGGCGATGAGGGTGATGGCGATGATGATGATGATGATGATGATGATGATGATGATGATGATGATGGTGATGATGATGATGATGGTGAAGATGATGATGCTGATGCTGATGGTGCTGATGCTGATGGTGGTGCTGATAATGATGATGGTGATACTGATGATGACGATGACGATGATGATGATGATTATGATGATGATGATGACGATGCTGATGCTGATGATGATGGTGATGGTGCTGATGCCGCTGATGATGCTGATCATGATGGCGATGGTGATGGTGATGCTGATGCTGATGATGATGCTGATCCTGATGCTGCGGCTGATGCTGATGCTGATGGTGTTGCTGATGCTGATGCTGCGGATGATGATAATGATGATGCTGATGTTGATGCTGCTGCTGATGATGATGCTGATGATGCTGATGATGGTGATGATGATGATGATGATGATGATGATGATGATGATGGTGACGATGATGATGTATCATCACTGAGGGAAGGTTCCATTTAGTGTCCCGCTCGCCCGACCAGCGCCTTCGGTGGTTGTGATATATTGCCCCCGTCCTTGTCCCATCACAGGTTGAAGGTTGCATTTGATATCTCGCCCGCCCGGCCGTCTGAACGCCCCATCACTGAGCGAATCATGCATTTAATGTCCCGTCCGCCTGAACGGCGTCCTCGGTGGTTGGTAAATTTAATTGCAGAGTTGAGGTTGCATTTAATTTCCCGCCTGCCGTCACCACAGTCGCCGTCGCCGTTTCCGTTGTCGTCGTCGACGTTTTCGTCGTAAGCCCAAAGGAAGCTCAACCAAGGCTCAAGCAATTCTCAGACAAAGCTCAAACGAAGCCCAAACAAGGCTCAAGCTCAAACACAGCTCAAACATATGTCAAACATAGCTCAAACAAAGCTCAAACGATGCTCAAACATCGGTCAGGCATAGCTCCAGCAAAGCTCAAACAAATCTCAAGCAAAGCTCACACAAAGACCCATCAAAGATTCAACACGGCTCCAATATAGGTCAAACATAGCTTAAGCAAAGCTCAACCAAAGCTCAAACAAAGCTCTAACAAAGCTTCGACAAAGCTTCAGCAACGCTGAAGCAAATCTCAGGCAAAGCTCAAACAAAGCTCAAACAAAACTCAAACAAAGCTACAGCAAATATTCAACAAAGCCAACAAAGCTCAAACAATCTCAAGCGAAGCACAAGCAAGCTGAAAACAAGCTCCAACAAAGCCCAACAAAGCTCAAACACAGCTCCAGAAAAGCTCAAAGAAAGCCCAACCAAAGCTGACACATGGCTCCAATGAAGCGCAACCGAAGCGCAAACAAAGCGCAATCAAAG